AGGGGTTACCGTGGCTGCAGCTGATGGGGGAGCCTGCCCACGTTTCAGGCTGCTGAAGAGATGCTGGTGGCCAGAAAGGTCTACTATGCCCCACTGAGGAGTGTTGTAAGCTGCTGCAGCAGCAGCAGCAACCGCCATACAGTACTCCAGCCGCGGTACCAACAGGAGGTCAGCCTCTCTTTGACAGTACAGCAGCAGCAACTGCTGCTGCTGCAGCTTACAACACTCCTCAGTGGGGCATAGTAGACCTTTCTGGACACCAGCATCTCTTCAGCAGCCTGAAACGTGGGCAGGCTCCCCCATCAGCTGCAGCCACGGTAACCCCTGACAGTCAGGCAGGCAAAGACGATAAGAACTATTTCCGCCGACTGAAATATTTCATTGATCGCCGCTTCCCATGCGGTGTGTGCCAGAAGTCATTCAAGCAGTCATCCCATCTTGTGCAACACATGTTGGTGCACACAGGGGAGCGGCCGTACGAATGCACCACCTGCGGTCGTACCTATAACCATATCTCCAGCCTCATCCGGCATCGCCGTTGTCACAAAGACACTGAGGATGCTGCTGCTGCTGCTGCCAGCGCTGCAGCCGTTAATGCAGCCGCTGCCAACGCTGCGGCCGTCAATGTAGCAGCCGCCAATGTGGTGGCTGCAGCGGCTGCCGCCGCCGCCGCCAGCATAACAGCAGCACCTGGTGCTGAAGGAGCAGCCCAGCCTCCTTCCCAAAGCGGCAACCCTCAATCAGTGGCTGCACCATCTGGAGGATCAGCCGCGTCTGCCCTCAGTGCTGCCATAGCACAAGCTGAAGGTCCTTTTACCTGCTCTCTCTGCTGGAAAGTGTTTAAAAAGCCAAGTCACCTTCACCAGCATCAGATTATCCACACTGGTGAAAAGCCATTCTCCTGCTCTGTCTGCCAGAAGAGTTTTAATCGCCGTGAGAGCTTAAAACGACACGTGCGGACACATTCAGACCTGTTGAGAGTGCAGTGTGGGGTTTGTGGCAAAGAATTCCGGGATGCCTCCTATCTCCTCAAGCACCAGGCCACTCACGCTCCTCCTGGAAGCTTACCTCCACGACCCGAGTACAAATGTGACATTTGCGGCAAGGGCTATGTGGCTCCCCAGAATCTACTACGCCATCGGCAGCTCCAACACGAGGGGGCCCAGCTGTCCAAGGATGGCACTAATACCTTGTCTTATCTGCCACCAGGGGCCTACCTCCTTCCACAAGACCCACAAGTCACAGGCTCTGAGGGAGACACCAAGCCAACATCCTATGGCCTCTTGGGTGCCCACCCCTTGCTGGTTGGGACAGTGGCAGGCAAGAATTTCTGCTGTGGGATTTGTGGCCGTGGCTTTGGGCGACGGGAGACACTAAAGCGTCATGAGCGGATCCACACAGGTGAGAAGCCTCACCAGTGCGCGGTTTGTGGGAAGCGTTTCCGTGAATCTTTTCACCTCAGCAAACACCACGTAGTGCATACTCGAGAGAGGCCGTACAAATGTGAAATATGTGGGAAAGTGTTTGGTTACCCTCAAAGCTTAACTCGGCACAAACAGATTCACCGATTACAGCTACCTTGTTCTTTACCACCCATGGGGCCCTCCCTGACCACCTTGGGCCCTTCTCTCCCTCCACCTCATGAGGGACTAACCTATGGCTGTTCTGACTGTGGAGAGCGTTTTCCTGATCTTTTTCATGTCATGAGCCACAAAGAGGTCCATGTGGCTGAGAAGCCCTACCCTTGTGATGTCTGTGGCAAATGTTTTGGTTTCATTGAGAATCTCATGTGGCACAAACTTGTCCATCAAGCTGCTCCTGAGAGATTTGTACCACCAGATGAAACAGCAGCTGCTGTCGCCCCACTAGAGAATGGGCTAGCTAGTGGTGAGAACATGTCATCTTATGAAGATCATCCGACCTTGCCAAGTGGAGAACGTTTCTCCTGCTCTATCTGTGGCCAGACGTTCAAGCATTTCCTGGGACTTGTGACTCACAAGTATGTGCATCTGGTGCGTCGCACGTTGGCCTGCTCGGTCTGTGGACAGAGTTTTGCTGGAGCTTATGACTTGCTGTTGCATCGTCGCACACACTTGCAAAAGCGGCACTTCTCTTGCCCAGTCTGTGGCAAACGCTTCTGGGAAGCTGCCCTTCTCATGCGTCACCAGCGCTGCCACACCGAGGAGCGCCCGTACCGCTGTGCTGTCTGTGGGCGTGGTTTTCTGCGCTCATGGTACCTGCGCCAACACAAAGTGGTTCACACAGGTGAACGTGCTTACAAGTGTGCCCTCTGCAACAAGCGGTTTGCCCAGTCATCCAGTCTGGCAGAACACCAGCGTCTTCACATAGTTGCCCGGCCTCAGCGTTGCCCTACTTGTGGCAAGACCTTCCGCTACCGTAGCAACCTTTTGGAGCACCAGCGGGTCCACCTGGGAGAGAAAGTCTACCGTTGTGACCGCTGCTCCAAGAGCTTCTTCTACCTGTCATCCATTCTGCGTCACCAACGCTCCCATGATGCTAAGCGTGAATTAAGATGCGGGGCCTGCCTCAAGCTCTTCAAAGACCCCAAGTATTTTAGCAAACACCTCCAGGCCCATCAGGGAGGACGGCCCTTCAAATGCAGCACCTGCGGGGAAGCCTTCTCCAATACTTACGGCCTCAAAAAGCACCGCCACATTCACAAGATGGAGCGCTTCGCTGCCATGGGGGCTCATAAGGAACAGCCCTAATGTTGGAAAAAAAAATATGGGTGGTCCGTATCTTGGTACTGTAGGATGGGACGTGAAGCTAGTTGCAGGTTTCTGTGAGCCATGATGGCAAGGCATTTCCATGTATAGAAAATAAGATGTGCTTGTTAGCAGTGAGATGCTCCAGTTGGGCACTAATTTGGAAGAGTCATCAAATCATAAAGTCACAAGCAGGACAAGCCAGATAGAGGCAAGAATGAATTGTAAAGATAGGGTATGTAATTAACAAGAGGTAGCCGCCAGTTACTTGCTAGATTTCAGCTCTCTAACAGAATACCTTGACCACTCTGAATTTTTATACTAATTGCCTGGGGAAAGTGAGTTGGAGATAGCAATCATAGAAGTGACCTTTGCCTGTCAAGCATGGCCACAGTGTTTTGGGGGGGGATGAAAGTTTTTTTTTCCTGTTTCTGAGCAAACAGGAGCAAATGAGGTTATGGTAGAATGACATTTTTTTCTTTCCATTTTCTTTCCATTGGAATGGAAACTGTATGGCATTCCAGTTCACAAGAAGAGTTGGTGCTTCCTGTAATTCCCTTTACCTAGAGAGAAACATTAGACCTAATTCATTCATTTGGGAATAAAACAGGAAGGACCACGATACAGCACTTGAGGAATGTCCATCAATCTTGTGTAAACTCAACTATGTAATCTGTATTAGGTAAGCCTTGCTTGCATTCTGAGAGAAAGACTTTAATTAGTGTCCTTTCATCATATGTATAAAGAAAATAGGCTAGTTCTCAATTTTTTTAAGACCTGGGAAGGTAGTGAGACATGGCTGC